CAAGACCTCGAGGGTATTCGACGCGCGCGGCGGACCCCGAAGGTTTTCGACGCGCGTGGCGGAGAAGACACGGAGACGGGATGAGTTTGGACAAAAAAGCAGGCAGGAGGATTGGACGCTCTTGAAAGGAGGGGTAGAAAAATTTTCGAGGTCCACGCCTGCAAAAACTTGCCATGGGCGCGCCTCGGTGGAAGGGAACGAGCTGACCAAACCCACAGAGGCGAGGGTGCGCCCAAGCAGAAGAAGGCTTTCTTCGCCATCGAGCGGGTCGGGGTCGCCGCCTCGAACCCGATGGTTTGCAGAAAGTTTGCACGCCCGCTCTGGAGGAGCGGCCCCGCAGAGGGACAGGCAACGATAATGGTGAAACATGCTGAATGGGAGCTTGAGCGCCGGCCACTCACGCATGGTAGAAGAGGCAATCATCGCTCAAAGAACGGCCACATCATGCGAATACATGCGTCAATGAGTCGCCCCATCTTACACGAGGCCTGCCAGGGCACCGGCCTGCATTGCAGACTGTTGACGAGCCCAATGGTTTGAGACAGGGAAGGAGCCGCTTAGCTCCGAAGGGCGCCGAGTGATGCAACGCGTATCTTGCGCACTATCTGACGCCTGGCACGCCAGCGTAACGCAGGCTGCGGTCTGGCATCGAATGCACTGCAAACAATGACGCCGCTGCTCATAGCAGCTGCTGAAAAAATTGTGAAGAACAGGCCATCGATGTGCACGGCTGCGCGGCCTTGTCATTCGGAAAATGAGAACTGAAGTGGTCGAGCGCTTGCATAACAGCGCGGTGCTCCGGAGCCGGGGCCGTCGTTGGCCTTTCTCGCGACAGCACCCCGTTCAACAAGCAGTCAGCCAGTCAGTCGAACCTGGCGCACAGACGGCGACTTGGCAAACACATTTACAAGTTATGACTGCTACCAGAAACGCCAACAGTAGCCCTGGGCTCGGGCAGTTATGGCGATACGAGTTCACCCTGCAAGCGTATCGGCGCCACGCGGGAGCAGGGGGAGGGGAGGGGGGGGAGGGGGCGGAGGGCGGCGAGAAGGGGAGGAGGGAAAGGAACAGCTAAAGCCAATGATCGTCACATTGGTTGCGAAAGCATACAGACCCTTGTTGCTTAGGTCGCCTCCGGCGGATATCCGAACGCCGTGACTCGTTGGAGTGCAGATCGCAAAAAAAACATTCGTAATCGGTTGTCTTCTGGGAGGGCCGCAATTTTACAATACAGTGCCGTTTGCCTCTCACTCAGTGTGGCGCTCAAAGCCGCCTCGCCACTTCGTCCCAATACTGTTTTGTTCGAGATTCGAAATAAAAAGGATGATGGGATGGGCAATCTATTCTGGAATCACCGCGCGTGGAAAGCATCAATTTTGCGCTTGTCTGCTTGAAGTAACCATACTCCAGATTGTACATCAGTTTTGGTATCACGATTGCTTGGTAGAGCTCGATCTGTCTACTTCGAGTGATATTTGCATGTGCCCAGCGTTTGTGTAGAGATTTGAAGATGCCCTTTGCTTCACCAATTATGTGCGATAGTTCTGGTTTGGCTGACATGTCTGACGTCAACAGACCCCCCAAGTGCCCCCGACGGGTCTGATATCACCCCATTGTGATTCATGCCGATAGCAACTGTTTTGCTTCCAGGCCGGTGCGTGCACCGTCTTCGATGACGACGTCGAGTAATGCTTGAAATTCGACCGTATAGCTGCTGACGAATATCGTATCGCCCGCGTGCAACAGGTCGGAGCACACCACATCCGGCGGTTCTTCGACAGTGTCTCCTCTGTCACGCATTCTGCTGTCAACGTCGAAGAACATCACTGACTGTACAATGATGAACAACTGGGGAGAGAGCGGGCAGCCTTGAGTGATGCCCGCGCGCTGTCTCCGTCGACTTGAATCCCCCCCACCATCCTTCAATACAACATTCCGCTTACTATTTATACCTGGTATTAACTCTACCATCCGCTCCAGGATGCTAAATCTGCCTGTCTCTTCAAGAAGAGTATCGTGCTTTATCCAATCGCACGCTTTGGCCCAATCAGGAAATACAGCCAGCGACCCAGGCGTCGCCGACGCGTGCGCAGCGTCGAACACCCGACGCGCAATGGAAACAGCTCGCGCGGTGTTTTGTCGAGGCCGGAAGCCAAATTGTGTTTGACGCATGCGTCCTTCTGCACCTTCAACTTGCAATTGTTGCTGTACCATAGATGCTACGACATTGTGCCCGACAGGTACTAATGATATGGGCCTGTATTTTTTTCCCGGGTAAGCTCGCGTCCCCCTTTTTGAACAGTGACGATGCTATATATATATATATATATATATACATGTACATATATATATATATATAATATAATAATATATAATATATATATATATATTCCTCTTCCTATATTTTTACAAGCCCGGGCGGCCGCAAAACCCCGCACCCCCCCCCCCCCCCAAACCGGACTCCAGGGATCCTGGGGCTTTGGGACCCTCCGGACGCCCATTGAAGCGGTCCCGAGTGCCTCAAGAGCGCTCCAAGACAGGCACAAAGCGCTCCAAGACGCCAAAGATAGCCCCAAGACAGCCTCAGGAGCCCCCAAGACGCCCCAAGCGGCCCCAAAGAAGCCTCCCAAGACGGCCCCGGGAGGCCGAAATGGTCAATTTTCCAATGTGTTTTTCGATGTTTTCTGCTTTCTCGCCATTTTAGCTTTCCGACGCTCCAAGACAGAACTAGAGGCCCTCAAGAGCGCCCCAAGATGGCCCGGGGGGCCCCCAAAACGGCCCCAACACGGCCCCAAGACGGCTCTGGAGCGCCCCGAAACAGCCCAAGAGGCGCCCAAGAAGGCCCAAGAGGGCCCCGAGAAAGCTTCAAACGAGCCCCCACAGGGCGATCAAAAGTTCAAACATCTAACTTTCCGCCCCAAGTGGGCCCCAGGAGGCCCCAGGAGGGCCCCAAGAGGCCCCAAGAGGCTTCCAAAGGCCCCGAGGACTCCCAAAAAGAACCCACGAGGCCCCAAAATGGCTCTCCAAAAGGCAGCCAAAACGGCCCCCCAAGAGGCTTCAAAACTGCTCAATCGCCCCACTTGACCGCCACCTCCGGAACGGCTTCGCTGCGCTGCTCCGTTGTTTGCCAGACAGTGGCATCCCACGCAAAACACCAAAATGCTTGAAATCCCGGGTTCGCAACCAAATTCCCGGGAAATCGGCTGCGAACCCGGGATTCGGCACATTTCCCCGGAATTCGGTAGATGTCCTTAGCATTTCCAGGATCCGGTACGTTGCCTGCATGCTTGCTGCCCTATGCCCTATCGCATCCCAGAATAATCGTTCCATGGAGGTTTCACGAGGGCCCTTCCAAGTTATTAAGGAAACATTGTTTTCCACACGTGTTCGCACACATGCATCCGTAGCCGTTGGCTTACATTTTTAAGCTGTCGCATACGGCACATCCTCGATGTCTGTGTTCGCTTGCTCCGATTGTGGCGAGACCCTGCCTGCAGAATCATTCTCCACAACACAACTTCAGCAGTCCAATCGGGCTTGCAAGTCGTGTGCCAGTCGACGGGAAACACAGTCACGGTCAGCCCCCCAACACATAGACTATCAATGCACTCGTTGCGGGGACATGCACGATCGAACTCACTTCAGCCCTTGCCAGCTGCACCGATCCACTCGGACGTGCAAGGCGTGCGCCACTGACGGCCGTCCGAAGCAAGACCTCTTCTCCTGCACGCGCTGCGGAGAGCTCTGGGACAGGACCCACTTCGACGCGAGGCACCTCAAAGCACGCAGCACTACGCGGGTTTGCAATTCCTGCAATGCGTGCCTTACCTTACCTTACCTCATGATATTCCTCCCTTCGCCGCGCCTCCCCAAATCGTCCTCCGCTTCTTTCCCGCCCCTTCTGTCCGACGTTTTGTCTTTCCGGAGCCTCCACGGCCGCTCTCATCGCCGCTGATCGGTCCGCTGGGACATTCTCATGGAGCCCCAGTGGCGCGCGGACCAGCAGAGCGAGGGCGCGAGCAAGTAAGGTGCAGGTCCGGGAACTGGGCGCGAACCGGCCGCGGTTCAAAGACCGTGGAGGGCCGCGCTAGACGCCAACGCGCGCAAGGGTTGAAGGACCAAGGTGCATGGCGCGAAGCGCCAATGCAGTCTTGTATATATATATATACATGTATACACAACTTTCCATTATTGTGGTATGTCGCCGCTTTCCCAACATCTCTGACATAATGTAAGCAGTGGCCCCAACGCCTCCGTGCCGCCCAAAAGAATCTTCCCAAACTCAGGTGGTACTTCATGTTTTCCTGCTGCTCTCCCAACAGAAAGTCGTTTTAGGGCTTCCCGCAGTTCTTCCATCTTGAACGTGTTCGTGTCGATGGGGAGCACATCTCCGATTCGGTCGTTCTTGTTTGGACGAGAACTCGGGTTCGTCATCTTCCGTTGTGCATTTTCGAAATAATCTGCAAATGCTTCTCCGCGCTGCCTGCTTTCCACTAGGTTCCCAGCCGGGTCTTTGATTTGAAGGGGACGTTTGGCTGCGCCTGCGCGAAGTGCACGAACAGCGCGCCATAGCCCGTCTCGACGTCGCTCGTCAAGCCAAGTATTTTTGTCTTGTTGCACGGCACGCTTAATCTTCTTACGAAGGTTCCGCTCCTCCTCCAAGTCGTTGGTCTTGCAGGCCACGTCCCTTGCTGCGAGTGAGACTAATGTATGTTCCGAGATCCACGGTTAGCGCCGCTGCTTGCATGACTTCCCGCTTACCCCAGCAGCAGCCTTCATCGCTTGTTGGATGCCGTTTGCCAACCCATCCAGTTATTCATGAAGCGGCTCGCGTGCAAGGCTCTGGTGAACGAATCCTGATAAGTCTTGATTAGAGTAAGATCTGCACGTAGAGCCGCAGCGTTCTGTTGATAGTTCGTGTGCTTATTGCGACTTGTGTCCAAACGATATTTGTCCAACATTGCAATAAGAAGTGCCGGGACGCAAGTGGTACATCACGCCTTGATTGAATATCTTGGATGAGCTGCGCCACGGCGCCATCCACTAAGCACTGGTCGATTTGCGTAATGCCTCCATTCGTCGCATCGGCTGCCTTGTCCGCGTCGGGGGAGTAGTACGTAACCAGCTTGTTCAGCTCATGCGCAAAGAGTGGATTCGCAACCACGATGTTTGAACTCTTGCAGGCTTCAATCAAGAAGTCTCTGTTGAGATCATGCGTCTTCTTCGGCCATGGAGCTTCGTCTGCGAGCTCTCCCAATACATCCTCTTCTCCAGCTTCGCGTCGGAAGCAAGGGCCAGAGGCGGGGCGGCTCAGCAGCTTTCCTTCAAGCACGGCGACCTGTTTGAAGTCGGGCAGACAATAGACCGTCTGGCTGCCCGGGTGGACGTACTTCTTGTACTCGATGGCGTCCCCCGGCCTCATCCTTTCCTGCGACGCGGCCTGGGGCACCTGGACCGTGAGGCGCCAGCGGAGGAGCACCAGTCCAGGGTGTCGGGCGCCCGGATGTGCACCTAGAGTTTTTCCTCCTCGGGGGCCGACGACAGCGTGAACGGGCGCCACTCGCCCCGCCAGCCCGGGAGGATGTTCTGCCCAGCCTGATAGCTGAAGCCCTTGGGCTGGTCGAGCGTGAGGCCGATGACGTCCTTCGGCAGCAGCTCCACCTGCATGAGGATCGCCAGCTCACTCTGGTGCTTCTCCAGCATCATCCTGTCGACGGCCACGATGAGGGCCAGGAAGAAGAACCAGATCCACAGCCGAGTGGGCGCGTGCAGAAGCAGCAGGATGTAGACTCACGGCCAACACGCATGTACTTTCCAGAAGAGGTTGTACCCTCCCAGCCTCCTGGACAGCCGATTCCCTGACCTGCACACGCACGGGTGCGCGGTCGTGTAGATCGCGCCCAGCAGCAGCACCAGGGCCAGGCCCGAGACGGCCGCGCAATGCACCTTCATATCAAAGATCTGTTCCAGGTACGTCATGCCAGGCAACTGCTCCTCCGGGGTGAGGCTCCACTGCGCGCGCGGGTCGTCGTAGATCCACGGGACGGAGGCGACCTCCCAAATGTAAATACAATGGCGGACGACCTGGACGCGATAGACGCCGAAACGGTTTCAACCACGACGGCTTGAACCAACATGGCTACGGAAAATCTGAGGGGCTTCTTGAGGCCTTCCAGAAGTCTCCCGGGTGCCTTCTGGAGGTCTCTGGGGGCCTCCTCGGGCCACCCTACTTCCAACCGCGGTCTCCCTGAACGACCAAGTCACGATTTGGAATGCTCCAAAGGTGTCTTGGGGCTCTCTTCGGGCCATCTTGAACCGTGTTGTGCCATGCACGAGGGGAGAGGAGGGAGGTGGGAGGCGGGTGGAGACGCGACCGCAGTGCCCTTTTCAAAAAAGAGAACCCAGAGAGGAGGGTTGATAATTATCGGTGAGCCTCGCAAGACTTCGCAGAAATCGCCAGAACTTCTCACGAGATCCCCTTCCTCCGCGAAACCAGACCAAATGCCCCGAAGGTCCCAGAGGGTCCAAATATCCCGAACTGACCTTGAACATCGAGCGGATCAGACAGGTGAAGGTTGAAACTTTCGGCTTGGAGGACTTGGCTTCTCTGACGTCGTTGGACGTGCCCCGGGACTGCGCTTCCCTCCTGTGCTTCCAGCGCTTCCGCGGAGCGCCGCACGCGGCTTCTCGGGGTGACGGCAGCGCCCCTGGGAAGCTCTTGGCGACGCGCAACCGATGAGATTGGCAGTTTCGAGGCCTCCCAAATGGAATCCGAGTAGATAGGGTCGGAGGGTCGCGCCGCATCGCCAATGCGCCGACGATGTATCGGCGATGCATCGGCGAGGTGTCGGCGATGCATCGGCGACGTCGGCGATGCATCGGCGACGTCGGCGCGGAGGAAATCTGACTCCACGTCAAGCCGCGTCGCCGATACATCGGCGATGCTGCGCGATCCTCCGACCCCATCTACTTTGACCCCATTCGGGAGGCCTCAAAATCAGGGCCAAGGTCGCGGAGGACGAGGGAGAAGGCGACCCGAACCGCGCCCCTCCTCCTCCTCCTCCTCCTCTTCCTCCTCCTCCTCCTCCTCCTCCGCCTACTCCTCCTGGCCTCTCGGATCCTCTCGGCAGCTGGCTCGAGGGCCTTCGAGCCGGCAAGCCCGAGGCACGGTTGCGCCACGCCCGGAGGCAGCGGCCACTGAGCCCCGGGCTTGTTGATCTCAGTGGAGCGATGGATGGCCTCGCGCCGGGCCGCGGCAGGGGCAGAGGCCGGCATACCGCGCCCGCGCCCACGCCCGCAATAATTTGATATCCCCGCTCGCTCTCCCGGCCGCCCGCCCTCCCCCTCCCCCTCACCCTCCTCCTCCTCCTCCTCCTCCTCCTCCTCCTCCTCCTCCTCTTCTTCTGATTTTTATTATGCTTCTTATCAGTATTCGTCTTTTTCTTCTCTAGTAGTAGTAGTAGTAGTAGTAGTAGTAGTAGTAGTAGTAGTAGTAGTAGTAGTAGTAGTACTAGTAGTAGTAGTAGTAGAGTAGTAGTAGTAGTAGTAGTAGTAGTAGTAATAGTATTCATAAAAATAAAAGTACTACTAATAGTAGTAGTAGTAGTAGTAGTAGTAGTAGTAGTAGTAGTAGTAGTAGTCGGTAGTAGTAGTAGTAGTAGTAGTAGTAGTAGTAGTAGTAGTAGTAGTAGTAGTAGTAGTAGTAGTAGTAGTAGTAGTAGAGTAGTAGTAGTAGTAGTAGTAGTAGTAGTAGTAGTAGTAGTAGTAGTATAGTAGTAGTAGTAGTAGTAGTAGTAGTAGTAGTAGTAGTAGTAGTAGTAGTAGTAGTAGTAGTAGTAGTAGTAGTAGTAGTAGTAGTAGTAGTAGTAGTAGTAGTAGAGTAGTAGTAGTAGTAGTAGTAGTAGTAGTAGTAGTAGTAGTAGTAGTAGTAGTAGTAGTAGTAGTAGTAGTAGTAGTAGTAGTAGTAGTAGTAGTAGTAGTAGTAAGAGTACTAGTATGTTTAGTACCATTATTAGTATTATTATTGGTAATAGTAGTAGAAGCAGTAGTAGTAGTAGTATAGTAGTGTAGTAGTAGTAGTAGTAGTAGTAGTAGTAGTAGTAGTAGTAGTAGTAGTAGTAGTAGTAGTAGTAGTAGTAGTAGTAGTGCTAGTAGTAGTAGTAGTAGTAGTAGTAGTAGTAGTAGTAGTAGTAGTGGTGGTAGTAGTAGTAGTAGTAGTAGTAGTAGTAGTAGTAGTAGTGGTAGTAGTAGTAGTAGTAAACATATTATCATGTGTCTTCTTCTTCTTCTCCTCCTCCTCCTCCTCCTCCTCCCCCTCCTTCTCCTCCCGAGCGAGAGCGAACGTGCCACGCAGCCCGCGAGGCTTCGCGCACGAGATCGCACTGGGTGGTGTCTCTCTCTCTCTCTCTCGGACGGGCCCCTTGGAAAGCTGGTTCGGGCTCGCCGCTGGATTCACCTCAACGGCCAGATCTTGCTCGCATCGCTGGTGGATTCACTACCGCGGCGGGGTGTCACCGCCCCGATGTTGGCCAAGGCGGGAACTCGAGACGACGGTCAGACGGTCCTCATGGCGATGCGTAGTGTTTGGCTTGCGGGCACACGTGCGTCTCGACCCCTGGGGCCACGCTGGTAACCCAACCCTTGGCGCAGCGATTGACCCACGCGCCCGAACGCACTGGGCTAGTGGCGCACGGCGCCAAAATCCATGTATGATAGCGGCGGTGGCACTGTACCCAATTCAATTTAAAACCGTGGCCATCAAACGCGGGCTTCAGGGACGGTCGTCATCATGTGACCAAGGGCATGGTAGAATGGCCGCTAATGCTGCCCATCAGCCTCCTGCCACCCCCAGGGAAAGCAGGCGAGGTCGATGAGGGAGAAGGGGGGGAAGCGGCGGACGTTTCGCACGAAGCAGATCACGGGAGAGGACGAGGAAAGGGAGGAAATGAGGGAACGACGAAGATGAAGGGAGGAACAAAGAAACAAGAATTTATGTTGCATCTTTGGGGGACCTCGCCTGTCCCGTTGCGCCAAGCATCCGTGTCGCATCCATGTCGGACGCGTCGAATCCGTGTCGTATTCGTGTCGGATCTGTGTCGGACCCACGTCGAGACCACGCAGGATCGCACAGGAGAAGACTGCTGCTTACAGGACAGGAAGGGGCCCCCGAGGCTGCAAGGCAAAGGGGGGGCGCTGGGGGCGACGTGGGGTCAGCGAGGAGCACCAGCAGCAGAACAGAGAGCAGCATGAGCTGCCCGTGGCGCGCAGAGCCCAAGGGGGGCCCGGGGCCAGGCAACAGCCAGGCCCCGGCCCGCGCGTCCCGAGGGGCCAAGAACTCGACACGCTGGCCACTCGGCGGCTTCCGTTTCGCGCGCCCGCGGTGAGACGACGAGACGACGACGAGACGAGCGCGCGAAACGCACCCCGGGGGACGGGCCGACTGGCGGCCGGCGCGGAAGGGCCGCAGCCCTCAGGTTATGCTGATGTTCTTGTCGCCATCTGTCTTCTCGTTGATGTGCTTGCTCATCTTCCGCTATTCCCTTTTCTGTCGGATGTCCTCCTCCTCCTCCTCCTCATCATCATCATCAGCAGCATCATCAGCATCATCATCATCATCCTCTTCTTCCTCCTCCTCCTACTCCTCCTCCTCCGTCTCCGTCTCCGCCTCCTCCTCCTCCTTCTCCTCCTCCTCCTCCCTACCGCGCGGATGAAGTCGATGTCGGGATCACGACCCTCCCCAATTCAGACTACTCGCGTGCCGCGGATTGTCAGCTCGACCTTCTTCCTAGCGCACGAACGAGGACGAGGTCGAGTTCACGACCAGTCCTTATCAGATCACTTGTCGGAATTGCGCTGTTACTACACTCAGCCTCCTTCCTGCTTCGCTGTTGCACAGGCACGGTGGCGGGGTTTGCTGCAGGCAGCTAGATCAGCAGCCCCGCAGGCGAAGCCGTTTAGTAACGCACATAAGGAAGGAATCGAGTCGACCAGGGCTGTTCAGTACGCCCAGGGCCGTCTAGCAAACGCCAATTACGGGGGCCGGGGTGTTCTTCCACCCTCGAGTTCACTCCGAATGGGCTTTTGTCTGCGATGGTGCGAGAGAGGCCTTACGCTGTCTGGCGTGTGTGTGTGTGTGTGTGTGTGTATCTGTGTCTCATGCTGTCTGGCGTGTGTATGTGTGTGTGAGTGTGTGAAATGAAATGTGCGTGTGTGTGTGTTGTGCGTGTGTGTGTGTGTGTGAGTGCGTGTGCGTGTGCGTGTGCGTGTGCGTGTGCGTGTGTGTCTGTGTGTGTGGGTGTGGGTGTGTGCGGCAGCGAGCGCTTCTTTTTTCGGCCGGGACAGAGGTTGAGGGTGCATTGATTCTTCCGCCGAGATGCTGAAACAAGGACAACGTTGGGCTCAGGAGGGGCCATGGTTTTCGGGCCGTTCCTCGGATCTAGCTTGTGGAACCCAGTCGTGGTTGAGGCTCGCCGTGGCCAGCAGCAACGCTCTTTCGCTCCTCATGCAGCGCTCCCTGTGGTAGCACGATGACTGCAGTCGGCGGCCGCCCGAGACGATATGTGTGTATGCATTTTCTGTTGAATGAGGGGGGGGGGCACGGCGGGGAAAGGGAAAAAGGTATGAGCAAGGACAGCTTTTCCCAGACCCACATTGTTTCGCGCACTCGCACCTGCCCGCGACACGGACAAGTAGCACCTGGGACTCAGCGTGGGTAGCGACTGCCACCCCAATGACAGCCGCAAACTGAGGCAAAATTTTCTAGGTGCGCCAATTGCTCCGCGTGCACCTCGAGTGAATGCGCCAAATGCTTCCGTATTTCCCAACGCGCGTACATCTGAACCGCGCTCTGGCCTTCAATTCGGACACATTGCGCCAATCGGGAGAGACGTGACGTACACTCTGCACTGACCCGTTTCCCGTGATGGTGGGGAGGTACATCTACAGTAGGGGCCAATACACAAAAAACCTTTCACAAGAAACCCAATCCTGAGACCCCAGGGCGTCCATCGATTTTTGGTGTGGGAACGTCACGCTTTCCAGAACAAAACCATCGAAACCCAAGAAACCCAGGGCACCCTGGAGGCAAGCAGGGTGTTTCTTGGCATGGGTCTCCACTGTATGCGCATGTTGTCGTGAGCTTATGTTGAGTTTTTGAACCAGATCATCGGGGGATGGGGTACTGCATCGGCCATGGTCGGCGGCCACCCGCATGGGGGATGGATGGTCGCTTGACTAATGAGGATCACGAGTAATGACAGGGGAGCACGAGTCACGAGAGGGGGGGGGGCAAATGGGAAAGGGGAGACGCAGGGGCGAGAAGCGCGGTCTCGCAGAGGCGTGCCCCTGCCCGTCTGGGCCGTGATGCACGGACCATGGCCCCGAAAGGCTCAGGAGCAGACGAGAGAAGGGCTCAGAGGCTCGAGGTCCGACGGCTCAGAGCCTGAAGGCTCAAGTGGTCCCCAAAGGCTCAAAGGCTCACGGCTCATAGCCTACCTACTGAGATGAAATGGGGAGAAAGCCGACGAGCCCAGGAAGGCGGGCCGCGCTATGGGCCGAGCGCACGGGCGCGGCGCCCGCCGACGGTCACGCGCTTGTCGACGCCCAGCGCCTAAGGGCTGCCCCCTGCGCAAGCGCCACACACATCGGTGGCGACGCGGAGGTAGCGAAACCGGCTGGCCCTCCACATGAACGCGATCACGAACGCGAGCGCGGACAAGAACGCATGAATCACCTTCAATGTCATGGGATCCAGTCGCGTCCCTGGAGCGATGCGGCCGCAAACGATAGGGGCTGCGAAGAGGTCTCGTTTCCCCTTCTCCGCGTCGCCCTCCACCCCCTCCCCCATCCCCTGCTTTCCCGTGCCCTCTCTTCCCCTGGCTGGCAAAAGAAAACAGAAAGCGGGAGGAGAAGGGAAAAGGGAGCTCCCGACGGAGCAAAAAGCGCCGAGGGCGTAGCCGTAGGTCGGGCATGTCCCCCTTACAGGCGGACTTTCGACGGAAAATTAAAAATTGTCAAAAATACCCCAAAATTATCAAACATAGTCGAACATCGCCCCCAAACTATTTTTTGAAACTATTTTTGAAGATTCCTCCTGTAGGGGGACACGCCCGACCTAAGCGTAGCCGGCGAGGCCTTCTGCGTCTCGAGCTGCTTGGCCTTGCGGGCGTACTCCTTCGGGGCATGACTTCCGGCCGCGAGAGGAACGAACGACGACACCCACCTGCGCCTCGTGGGGGTTGCATTGCCTTCGGAGGATAGCGCTTCCTCATCGGAGGAAAGCATAGTCCTCCTTCTCGTGGGGGGGGGGGCGAGGGAAGAGGGAGAGGTAGGAAGAGAAGCAGCAGCAAGACGATAGGGAGGAAGAGAGACCCAGAGGAGGAGCAGGAGGAGGAGGAGGAGAAGGAGGAGGAGGAGGAGGAGGAGGAGGAGGAGGAGGAGGAGGAGGAGGGTGAATATGCGTCGAACGTCAACACCAGGAAGAAAACTGACCGAGCTGTGCCAGGCCGAACAGATGGGATGCGTGGCAGCTGCGATGCGTAGGACCACGTGTGCCGGGTGCGCGAGGGCTTCTGAGAAGTCCCGCCGCCTTCGCAGAAGGCCTTCTCCTTCTCATGTCGCCCCCTCACTCGCCGCCGAATGTGGTTTCTGGGTCATAACTCGGATCTCTGGCGAGCGGTCGGGACGATCCGGGCACCCGTTGAACTAGAGGGACACGCCCGACTTACTGCTTGCAAGCATCCCGAGGCTGGAAGACCGCCGAGCACAGGCGAGAACCTCCGAGAGCCTCGCGCGAGAAGGCGAGAACCTCCGAGCACCGGTGCGCCCACGAGCGCGCCCTGCCCGCACCCGGAGTCGCAGGCCAGGCGCCGCGCGCGGCCGTGCCTGCCCAGGGCGGCAGCCCGGGTGAAACTGGCGGCGCGCACAGCAAATGGGGAGGGGGGACGGCTTCTCCAGAAGAGGAAGAAGAGGAAGATGAATAACATTAATAATCACATGAAAAATCATGCTAATAATGATGAAAAGAAGAAGTAAAATAATAATAAGAGGAAAAAGAGGAAGAAGAAGAAGAAGAAGAAGAAGAAGAGGAGGAAAAAGAAGAAGAAGGACAAAGTGGCATGAACATAAACTTTTGGCGCTCCGCGCGGATTTCTCGGATCTGCGCTGGGCCTCCCTCCCTGGCGCGCGGAGCGCGCGAGGGGCGGCGCCAGAGGCGCCGCCCCGGGCGGGGCCCAGCGCGGATCCAAGAAATCCGCGCGGAGCGCCAACAATTTATGTCTATGCCGTTTTCTCGTCTCCGACTCTCAGAAGCAGGGCTGCTTGCACGAAGCCCTCCCCCCCCCCCCCTCCCTCCCTCTGCCCCCCCTGCGCGTGGCCGAGGAGAGCCGGGTGGCGCTCCCGGGACGCTCCCGCAGCGAAGGTGCTCGGGCGAGGACGTGTCTCCTCGGGAGGGTGCCTGGAGCCGCGCAGGGCACGGGGCAGGATGGGGGGGCTCGCCTTCGCGGTCGTCCCGCAGGAGCAATCTTAACGAGGGGGCCCTGGGACACACACAAATAAATAGACACAACTAACAGGATTCCCCACAGCTTCCTACATTTTCTGGGTTTTTGTCTTCCTTCCCCACTTCCCGTATTTTCCCATATTTTCTGGGGAATCGACGACTCATTGTGTCTGGGTTTTTTTCCCCTGAAATATGGGGCTCGCCTTCGCGATCGTCCCGCGGGAACAATCATAAGCTGACAATCGGACATCCGGCGCATATTATAACTATTCCTACTACATGCTGTGGACAGCCCACCATAACCAATGCCCAAGCCAATCTTCGGGTCAAGCTTATAGACAGCCTCGGTAAACGCTCATGACGAAGCCTAATCAGAGAAATTGCTTCCCAGACTGCTCTTCTGTGAGGGCTTCATACGCTTCTTCTTAGAAGCTTGTAAGGGCGCTGCCCGGTCTGGAATTGGTGGGGCCACGCTGTCTCCCATTCCTTCCCGTTGACTCTCATCGTCTATTCATATCCCCATCCTTATCCCTATCCGTATCCCTGCCACTATTCCTATCTCTAGCCCTACCTCTATCCTTAATTCTCTGCCTCTATTCGTATCCCCATACTTATCCATTACACCTATCTCTATCCTATATCCTACATTCATGTTCCTGTCACTATCCCCATCCCGATCCCCATCCTTATTTTCTGGTATCACGAGCCCTATCACTAGCCCTATATCCCTATCCCTACCCCTACCACTATCCCTATCCTGATCACCCCCGTCGTGACCCCCTATCGTACCTGTGTGAAGCTCTTTAGCTACTTTTGCCGCAAGGGTGCAGCTTTTCATGACTTCTAGCGCCACCAAGCCAAGCCATAACGCCTGGGAGCGTCGAGACGGAGCAGAACGAGGTACGATAAGGATGAAGGATGAGGCAACAAGGGGGGAGAAGTAGAAGGCGGGAAGTTGATGACTGAGAATGCAAAAACCCACCCCCACCCCCAGTCCCGACCCCATCGCCGAACCCGCGATCCAGGGGGTCGAGACTGGGGGTAAGAATGGGGAAAACCCACCCCCACCCCCGACCCCTTGAATCGCCGGCTCGGGGATGGACGTCGGGACTGGGGGTGGGGGTGGGTTTTCGCCTTCTAAATGACGGACCCCAAGGAACCGCGACAAGGGCGGAGTGGCCCCATCTCTGCACCTCCGCGCTGGGGATCGCCCGAAGGAAAAACCGCTCCGAGTGTCGACCCGACCACCCTGGGGGCGAAGCTTCCAGCAGGGACCTCTCCACACGGAGGCGACAGATCAGTGATAGAGAGACGCCCTCTCGAAGGAGCCCCTCTGCGCAGAAGAGCGCGAGGAGAAAAATGGAAAAAGGAGAAGCTGTCCCTCGAGGAGGGCGAAAATGAGGTGGCGATAGATCAGTGATAGATCAGTGATAAAGAGACGTCCTGTAGGTTCGGAAGAGCCCCTCTGCGCAGAAGAGGCCGAGGAGAAAAGCGGAAGGAGGAGGAGCTGTCCCTCGAGGAGGGTGTAGATGAGGTGGAAGGAAGGGGCGTTCTCCCTGCGCCGGCTGTTGACTCCAGCCACGGCGGACCCGCTGGCCCTCCAGGAGCTACCCGCGCCAGACTGCACGTGCACCACTACGCAGGGCAGGAGCTCGACCCGCCCCTGCTTTGCGCTGGGCCGCCGCGTCTTCGCGGCGGCCGACACGCTGCGGAGCTGACGTGCCGTTGCTTTGCGCAGCGCCGCAAACCGTCTCGGCCTTGTCGTCCTTTGGCGGCGCGCAGAAGGGGGGGAGGGAGGGGGGAGGGCTTCTTAGAAGGAGGCTGCTTCTTAGAAGGCGCTGGCCCTACATCTATAGATAAGGCCCGTGCCTTCAAAGAAGCCTCCCCCCTCCCCCCACCCCCCTCTGCGCGTGGCTGAGTCCTCCAGAAGCCGCGCCTGGTCGCGGGCCGGCTGGCGGAGGTGGCGAAAAGCAGCCCTGCAGTGCCGCCCGCCAGTCTCCACGGATCACTGGAAATGCGGGCCAAGGGCAGCGGCCCTGGGGGTACCGAGCTCTCTCCCGAAGAGGTGGCCCTCCTTTCCTATGTATCTCTCTCTCTCTCTCTCTTTCTTTTTCTCTTGCGGAGCTCTCGTTGACGCTGCATTTGCTACATCCATCCCTCTACATATATGGGTACAAATATATACAGATGTATTTATAGACCTCTGTATGCACACACACGCTTACCTATTTAGGGCACCCTGCTTGGAAGAGGTTGCCATGTGTTGCGCGTTGTCATGGTAAGATGATGAGGAAACCATTTTGAGGGATCACCTCTGGTGGCACATGTGTTCGTACACGTGTTCGTGATGCATACAGCCAGCCAAGCGCAGCCCACACACGCGGCAGGAAGGAACACTCAACCGTACTCTGACAGCTGGAAGCCCTGCTCAGCTCCCGGACTTGTAACGGGAAGCGTAGTCAAGCAGCGTGGAGGGACAGAGGACCGACAGCACGTGAACCAACAGCAGAACAACTCGAACAGAGATCAACATGTGAGGAAATGGACTACCATCGAGAGAGAAGGTAGCAAAAACACGGGATAATGGCGGTCGACGAAGGGCATCCAGTTTCCAACAACGTAACAGCGGAGATGGGACAACAAACAAAGAAACCTCAAGGATAACCCCGCGTCTTTTCGAATGCTTCGCAAGAACTTCTCCGATGACGTTTCATGTGCCAATGGTCTCGAAAGACGGGCGCCAAGATCCGATTGTCACGCGGCGGCTGGTCCCCTTCCCGTTACCATCCCTTGTCCTCCCGCCAAACTACCCGATCTCTTTACCTCTCTCCTCCGCATCCCCATCACCACTTCATCCTGTTCCCGCTGCTCCAGTCATCCTGCCCCATCCTAACTTTGTCCCACACGTTCCCGCACACTTCCCCTCCTCTCGCCTCCCCCGCCCTCCCCTCCAAACCTGACCGCCGTCCTGCAGGATCTTCTCCTTGGTGGAGTTCACCACCTTCAGCTTCTCGACACCGAAATCCTGACCCCGCCAGACGGCGACGACGTTTCGGCTGCACACCAGAGTGACCCTAGGCAGGAGTGACGGTTGGTGCGCGGCTTCAGGGGGACGCGGGGGGCCCACTTCCAGGCGCGCAAGCTAGTGCTCGGGGGATCACTGTGTCGGGGGCGACGATGGGGGCGAACAGCTCAGGGGAGAACAATACTCGTATCCAGGGGCGCCGATGGTCCATGCCTTCGGCGAGGCTCCTGGGCGAATACGTGTAATGCCCGCCCCTGGGCTATTCGCTCCCGTCGTTGCCTCCGACTGTGGTCCCGCACCAGAGGTCACTCCGGCGAAAGGCCACTCTATCTGGACGCCCGACATGGTACGAAGAAAATGGGTACAGTGCCCAACAGCAAATGTTTTCCAGAACCGACAGCGGCCGCTGTTGGGCAGGCGGCCTTCTGTCTCGAATGGACAACGACCGCAGCGACGCCGACAACGAAGTCTGGTTTGAATACACAAGATCTGCTGTTGGACTTTGTACCCATTGTTTCCGTGCCCATTTCGATCGCCCCGATCTTACGAGAACGGCTGGACTGTGGATAGAAGAACATCCTTCAAGAACATGAGACCCTCCGCCGGCCAAAACGAAGCACATTCGAGGGTACCCTCACCCAGGATGCACAGGAACATCCAACACACACACACACACACACGCGAAGAACATTAGGGTACCTTCCCCAAAACGACCTCGATCTTATACCTCGGTCCGACCATAGCTGGACTCCTGCCAACGGCGGCACGGAGAACCCCACTGTGCGCACGGAGGTTGCGCTCCTGGTGCCACGGTGCCACCAGGAGCACGTCTTGGGCCCAGGCATGGCTGGGCAGTGCCTCCTCGCCCCCCCTCGCTCTCCTGGGAGGCGCTGCCTGCTCTACTCCTTCTCCCCCTCCCCCTTCCCCTCCTCCTCCTCCTCCTCCTCCTCCTCCTCCTCCTCCTCCTCCTCCTCCTCCTCCTCCTCCTCCTCCTCCTGCCGACTTCACGGCCATAGTTCGTTTCACCGCGAACGATGGACCCAGCTGGTCCCTGGTCCCTACTCCTTCACTCCTTCTCCTCCTCCTCCTCCTCCTCCTCCCTGCGTCTCAAGCTCCTCCTCATCATCCTCCTTCTCCTCCTCCTCCTCCTCCTCCTCGTCCTTCCCTCCTCCTCCTCCTCCTCCTCCTCCTCCTCCTCCTCCTCCTCCTCCTCTCCTCTGCTCTTCCTCCGTCTCCTCCGTCTCCTCCTCCTCCTCCTCCTCCTCCTCCTCCTCCCCTCCTACTACTACTACTACGACTACTCCTCCTCCTCCTCCTCCTCTTCCGCCTCCTCTTCCCCTCCTCCGCTTCCCTCCTCCTCCTTCTCCTCCTCCTCCTCCTCCTTCTCCTCCTCCTCCCTCCCTCCCTCCCTCCCTCCCTCCCTCCCTCCCTCCCTCCCTCCTCCTTCTGCCCTTCGTCAACTCCCCCCACTTCTCGCCCCTCGCCTCCATCCCTGTGGGTCCCTCGAGTCCCTCCAATCCGTCAATGCTCCTTCGTCGCTCCCTTTTCCCGCTCCTGCTCGCCCGCGCGGACGCTCCTGCAACGCCTTCGTCGTGATCTCCTCGGCCCTGTCCTTGGCCTGCGCCCGCGCGAGACAGGGGGGGAGGTAACTGCGGGTAAGGGATGGGGGGAGGGAGGCGAGGGGGAGGAAACCCAGGAGCGGTGAGGGAGCTCAGGAACGGTGACAGGATGACAGGGTCGGAGCGGAGGATGAAGCGGCAAGCAGGGGGAAGAGGGAAGGGAGAGGGGGAAGGGATCGACAAAGGGAGGAGGGAATTTTCAGGATCTCCGCCATCACAGTGTGACTAACTACACCAGCTAAGATCCTCAGCTATTCGGGAACAGGCTTAGAGAAACAAGGTCAAGAGACTCGCTCCTGGCCTTAGTAGTTGAAACGTGTACGGCTGGCTGGCTAAGGGCCTCTGAGTTGGACCCGACCGAAGAAGCCGCAAGCGCCAAGACAAGCCAAGTTTAATACACCGGTGATAAAACAAGGCGTGCGAGGGATGGACCCTGCCTCCTGAGAAGTATCAGCGCCAGCCAATTGAAACTCGGGGTAACATACTGTCCGCCACGTCGAAGGGAACACACTCACCTCGTGGCTAAACTTCTGACGTCGCTTTCAGTCGCCGAGCTTTTTTTACGCACGGTGCTCGGCCCACCATCATCGGTCAGGGTGTGGGCTGAGGCGATGCGCACAAGAGCAAGCGGAGGAAGCGGAGGAAGAGGAGGACCAGCTCGATCTCTCTGTACACTTGCCTCAAATCGGGCCTGTCCCTCCACAGGGGGAATATTCAAAATAGTTAAAAAATAATATGGGGGCAATTTTTTGACTATTTTTGAACATGTTTGGGGTATGTTTTTGGTATTTTTATTTTTCTTCCCAAATCCGCCTCTAGGGGGACACGCCCGACCTAACACTTGCCCCAGATTTTGAATCCAGCCCTCCCAAGAGCAGCTTGCGACGGACTAGGCGGGCCTTCTTCTCGAAAAGAGCGGCACGGTGACGGCCAATATAGGAAACTCGTGCTCGTACGGCAGCCTCACCGGCAAGAGCTTCGGTCCCAGTGCCTCCCTGAATGAGGCACCCAGGCCAGCCCCGAGAAACAGCTTCGGCCCTTCAACATGAACAAAAATCGGCCCTGCTGCAATCCTGGATGGATGTCGATGCAGGTCAGTCAGAAGCCCGATCCCCCACGGTGCATCTCGTCGCCATCCAGGCCAGCGCGAGATCGAAGAGGGCCGGCGGGAGCCGCTCGGGGAGGGAGAAAAGGAAGGGGCGGCGGGGGCTGGGGCAGGACTGGCGCCCCGCCCCGGGTGGCCGCGGGGGCCCGGCACCATGCAAACGTAAGTCGGGCGTGTCCCCCTACAGGAGGATTTTGGGCGACAAATGAAACATACTCAAAAAATACCCCCCAAATGGGCAAAAAAGGTCAAGAAATCGTCCCCAGAATATTTGTTTTACTATTCTTGAATTTTCCTCCTGTAGAGGGACACGCCCGACTTAAATTCAAACCCGGCTCCCCACCCTCTGGGCCAGAATCGGGCTTCGGTGCCCGATTCAGAAGTTCAAATCTCAAACAGCGTGCAGTGGGGGCCCGACCACAAGAAGCCTTCCACAAGAAACCCAGCCCTGAGACCCCATGACGTCCATGGATTTTTGGTGTGGGAGCGTCACGCTCTCCATCGCAAAACTATCGAAACCCAAGAAACCCAGGGCACCTTGGAGGCAGGACGACATCGCAGGCACCCTCGCAGAAGACATCCTCAGAGACGCCTTCCGAGACGACCCGAAAGTTTTACCTGCCAGCCCCGAAGTGGCCCACCTGCGCGGGACTCGTGCAAAATTATCCTGGCGAAGGGCACAACTATATGCAGCTTTGAGTACTCCCCTTAGGGGCCACGACCCTCGCGAGGGGTGTGCCGAAATGGGCGGGGGGACGCATTCGGACCCTGCCACTGGGGCCTCCGGTGGAGCTCACTATGTGGCCGCGATCCTCGTCAGAGCTGTGCCGAAATGGGCGGGGGGACACGTGCGGACCCTGCCATGGGAGCCTTCGGTGGTGTGGTCACTATCCTGGTGAGGGGTGCGCAAAGTGGGGGGGGACGCATGCGGACCCTGTCACTGAGGCATTCGGTGGAGTTCCTATAGGGTCACGATCCTCGTCAAAGGTGTGCCGAAATTGGCGGGAGGACGCAAGCGGACCCTGCTACTGGGGCCTTCGGTGGAGCTCCCTATGGGGCCACGATCGTCGTGAGGAATGTGCAAAAATGAGCGGGGGGACGTATTCGGACCCTGCCACTATGGCCTTCGGTGGAGCTCCCGATGGGGCCACCCACGATCCTCGTGAGGGGTATACAAATTGGCGGGGGGACGCGTGCGGACCCTGCCACTGGGGCCTTCGGTGGACCTTCCCACGGGGCCACGATCCTCGTGAGGGGTGTGCCGAAACGGTTGAGGGACGCATGCGGACCCTGCCGCTGGGGCCTCCTGTGGAGCTCCCTATGGGGCCACGATCCTCGTGATGGGTGTGCCGAGATAGACGGGGGGACACGTGTGGACCCTGCCGCTGGGGCCTTCGGTGGAGCTCCCTACAGGGCCACGAAATGTGTGAGGGATGTGCCGAAATGGTGAACACCTGCGGAGAGCAAATGCAGATATGGGAGGATGGAAGAAGGGGAGGAGGGGTTAGGAGTGAGTGGACGCGGGGCGCTCTCTCTTCAAAACGAGGACCCACCACTACAAAATGGTTTGGGATAATGTGTTCGGAACCGGTTCAACGGATCCGAATGTGAGCCTCACGCTGAAGGTTTCTTGCAACAACATTTTTTTTCGGCGGATCCATGTTTCTGCCCTGGATGGTCTGGAATGCGCGCCAGATTTGTCAGCGTTCGCGCCCGAGCGCGGTTTCGGAACAGGTCTGCTAGGCTCGCGCATCGTTTATTTTTGTAGCGACCTTGCAATCATGCGGCTGCGCTGCATCAGCACGGAGCCGCGCTTCGCAGAACATAATCAACTTTCGGGGCGCCGATGTATCGCGCTCCAAATCTCAACTATATACCTATACGACCACCCTTCGAGTGATAAGGAGGTTGTGGGGTAGGGAGAGGGGGAGAAACCAACATCTGACTCAATCGATCTCACTATCGATCTCACTCAACGGGACACCATGGGACACCACGGGACACCACGGGACACTTGTCGATCTCACTATCGATCTCACTATCGATCTCACTCAACGGAACACCACGGGACACCACGGGCCATCATGGGACAGCACGGGACACCGCGGGACACCTCTCGATCTCACTATCGGTCTCACTATCGATCTCACTATCGATCTCACTCAACGGGACACCATAGGACACCACGGGACACCACATCGATCTCACTATCGATCTCACTATCGAGGGACAACACGGGACACCTCGGGGCACCACATCGATCTCACCATCGATCTCACTATCGATCTCAATTTTTGGGACACCACGGGACACCTCGGGGAACCACATCGATCTCACCATCGATCTCACTATCGATCTCAATTTTTGGGACACCACGGGATATTTCGGGGAACCACATCGATCTCACTATCGATTTTATTATCGATCTCAATTTTTGGGACACCACGGGACACCTCAGGGCACCACATCGATCTCAATATCGATCTCACTATCGATCTCACTCAACGGGACACCACGGGACACCACGGGACACCACGGGACACCTGTCGATCTCACATCGATCTCACTATCGATCTCACTTTTTGGGACACCACCTCGGGGCACCACATCGATCTTAATATCGATCTCCCTATCTATCTCACTCAACGGGACACCACGGGACACCACGGGACACCACGGGACACCGCGAGCCACCGCTGGGCGGACGGACGGACGGGGGAGAATCATTTGTCTTGACTTCGCCCTAGCAACACCCCACGGGACACCACGGGACACCGCGGGTTGGCCGTGAGCAGATGGGGGGGGGCCATAGGTGGGGGGGGGTGAGTCGCCTCGCGCAATCGGGCACCGTCGGTCTCGCTGTGGCTACGGCGGGACGCGGGCACCCCGAGCTGCTGCCTCGGTCCTGCCCTGCCTGTTCCGCGCCGGCCCGCTCCGCAAGCCCGCGCGTCCTGCGGCCCAAAACCACACGCGCACCAGTGCGAAACGATCTTGCACGACCCCGCCACGAAGCACACTCCAAACTACCAAAGCGGAGTGGGAACGCATCTTCAAGACAAAACTTTCGGAAGCCCGCGTCGACACTTTTATTGAAGCTGGACTTTTTTCTTCGCGTCCTGATATCCATCGCCGTGTGTACATCGACCCCATTCGCCCCTTACGCGTGGTGAAAATTAACAACGAAGAAACGGATCAGACCTGTTGTGTTGCAAGAACGTGTTGAAACACACAGGAGATCATCATGCGTTGCGGCATGCTTCCAGATTGCTATGTTCATTTAGCACCGCTCAATACGCCAAGGACGTCCTCCAGGAACTCCGCAAGTCAAATGGATGCAGCGTTGTGAATGCGTTGGAAAAAGGTTACCAAAGCAGGCGGTGGCAAAGCAGAGTATTTCAATAAGCATATTCAGCTTGCAAAGCGGAGTTCCTTCTCACGCAAAAAACTGGTGGATAAAGCCATTTCCAAGGCGCCCAAACAAGCGTCTCATGTATGACGCCGCTCTCCGCGTTACATGCCGCCGCCCGTTGGCCGTGTCTGAAGCGCTGCGGCGTTGATCGCTAAAGGGCGTCGTTGGAGGTCAGTCGCGCGGGTTTTCGGGGCCCGCGGCGCGTGCCTGGGGAGAGGGGGGTGGGTGATGGGTTTCGGTGCCTTTGCGGCTTCTCCTGGGGATCGGTCAGTCTACCGCGCTTGGAGCGCGTCGTTTGTTAATCGAAGGCGCGCTTGGCCGCAGAGCGGCAACAGATATTTTCGGAAGGGCGGGATGTACACGCCCAATCAGTATCTGTACGGGAAATGCGTCCGTGACATGGGCCCGCTGATGGGCAAGACGTTGTTCCGCCTTTTGGAACGGACTGCTGGGGCCGAGACGCAGCTTCATTGTTTCAGCAGAAG